GAGGGCCCTGGGGCTGGCGGGCTGACGCTGGATGAGCAGTGGGGCTGTTGCTTAGGTTGGAGCAGGACTGTGAACTGCCAAGGCGCCGTGGCCGAGCCGGAGTGGGGAAGGTGTTTGCTCCGCGGGGAAGGTGGGGATGAGAACACTCAAGCCCCGGTGTGAAGCCACAGCTCGGAGTCCCGCTCCCAAGGGAACAGTCCCGTTTCTGATGGCAGGAGACTGCCCTGGTATTATCGGTCATAGGCCCCTGAGCAGGGCGTGGTGCTCTGCACGGGAAGCGGGGCGTGGATAAATTCCCTTGCGCTGATTGCCAGGTCAAAAGCCCGCTGGGAAGGAATAAAGTCTCTCTGGACAGTATCCTGTTTGTCTCCCAGCTGCTTGGATGCTCCGGGGGAAAGCTGCCAGCCATGAGAAATGAGATCCCCGGATATGCCGGCGCCCTGTGATGGATACTGACGCAGGACGGCGGAGGTCAGCTTGCGGCCTAGCGGGTTCTGTGCGTGGCCCGCGAGACATTTTGTTTACTGCTGCCCCTGGCCTCGGGTTGCCGGATTCCGCCCGGTTCCGTCGGGGTAGGGTTTGTTCCCTACCCATTCTCCAAGAGTGACACACACATAAAGCCAGGGCACGTGCAGGGAGGGGCGTGCGGATTGCACACAACGGTGCGAGTGCCGCACGCTCCCTCTGCAGCCAATCACAGCACGGCTACGGTCCCATCGGCACCCCCCGCGCGTTCTACGTGCGCAAACGCCGCTAGCAAACAACCCCGTTCCGGGAAACCGTCTCGGTTCCGACCAGCTGGCGGCCCACTGACATGAAGGAGGCCGCTCGTGCGGACCCCTCACTAGCCTCGGTTGCCCAGCGCTGACTTAGGGTCTTGGATCTGCTTGAGGTTTTATACAGGGAAACCTAAGTCAGGAGGACGGAGGTCCCAGTCATGGGCTAGAATCAATCTGGAAACGGATTCTGGACTATTCCCACGGGCTACATTTGAAAAGACCTTTTTGCAGCTTCCAGATCACCCACTCGGGGCTGTGTCACCAACCCTCAAGAACTGAACTCACGTGTGTGTGCGCAGTGAGCTTTTCACCAGTGCTCCCTTTTTCTCCTTTTTTAAACTCATGGGAGTTCAGGTCACAAGCCGTGGCTGCAAGCATGGCTATGTCTAGGCTGCAGGCTTTTTGCGCAAGAAGCTTTTGTCAGAAGAGATCTTCCGCAAAACCTTCTTGTGCAGGAGCACATCCGCACTGCAAAAGTGCATCAAAAAAGTGATGCGCTTTTGCAAAAGAAAGCGTTCAGACTGCATGGACGGTCTCTCAAAAGTAAGCACTGATTGGTATGCACAGAATGGCCACCAAGGCACTTGTGCTTTTTCCTCTTTTAAAGGTTTCTTCCTCGTAGAAGGAAGTTTACCAACACCGGAAAACCCCCTCTGTTCCTTCGATTTACTTTCGAAAGAACGCGACTGCAGTGTGGACGTTACTCAGGTTTTGTCAGAAAACTGGCTGTTTTTCTGACAAAACTCGGCAATGGAGACATACCCCATGTGTTTGGAGCAAGGCCTGAAATATTCCTGGCCAGGGCAGGTCCTGTGTCCAGGCCTGGTAGCCCTGTGTGTGACTGGGGCGTCCGGGGGTGGCCTGCGCTGGGTACGTCAAAGGCCTGGGGTGGGCTGGACTCGGAGGTACGTCTACACGGCAGCGCATATGGAAACAAGCCATTCCGGAAGAAATACTCCGAAATGCTGATTTTGAAATAGTGCGTCTACACGACAGGAAGCCTGGAAATGACCCCGAGGCAGGCTCCTGTCATGTGGACGCGCTACCTCCCTGTAGAGCCCCGGGAGGCCCTGGGGAGGAGTCGCTAGGAGCTATTTCCAAACAGCAGGCGAGGGCGTCCGCACTCAGCTGTTCCTTGTGGGGCCCTTTGACCCCCGTCACCCTCTGGGGTGCGTTCACCTCCCCAGCGCCCTGGAGGCCCCTTTTCCCCTTCACTCCCTACCCAGAAACGGGGCAGCCGGGCACCCTCGTTGAGTGACCTCAGCAGGCTCCCCTGGGGTCCCCGAGTATCACACTCACCACGGGGGAAAGGGCCCCCTGGGGTGTTAGGGAAGCGAAGGCCCCTCCAAGGGCGATGGGGGGGAAAGGGCCCCCCAGAAGGTGCTAGGGAGGTGAAGGCTACCTGAGGGGTGTTGGGGGGAAGCCCCAGGGGATGATGGGAGGAGAAAGGCCCCCCCAGTGTGAAGGGGAAAAGGGGGCTGCTTACTGACGTCCTGCCGGCGGCTGTGGGGGGCGTGGCTGGGGCTGTCCGGCGTGGCCACGGCCAGGAAGAAGCGGTAGGTGACACCAGGGTTGTCCTGCTGGAAGATCATCTGGGGGAAACGACAGAGAGCGGCTCAAGCAGGGCGTGGAGGGGGAGGCG